CATCGCTTTAAGAAACCAGGTAGTAAGAACTACATGAACATATATCCTCCCAGCTGTACGCTTCATCTCTCGAACATTCCACCAAACATCTCCGAGGAGACGCTAACTGAAGCTTTCGAACAGAACGGTTTCCAAGTGAAGGCGTTCAAGTTTTTCCCGTGAGTGTTCCTTTCGCTTTGACTTTGAATTACAGTAAGAGTGAGCTTTACAGAAAAGACCATAAGATGGCACTTTGCCAATTGGAGGATGTGGAGACGGCGATTGATGCACTCATCGCCATGCACAACCACAAACTCGCCGAGAATGCTCACCTGCGGGTCTCATTTTCCAAATCCGGAATCTAGTCGGGCGTTGTCAGTGTCGCAGAGCCATGTCAGTCTTTTGTCAAGGTCCCACACACATATTTATTTGTTGAATTTGAAGCACGTTCACTCATCGTCAAAAGGTTCGTGAAATGGAAGATCTAGGAGCGTGTAGATTCGGTGCTAATACTCTTGATACAATTTGACTACAGCAGCAAAACAACGACAGTTGGGACAGAATGTCACCGTACGGTGTGACACCGTAACTTATCATCATTAGTATCATTTGTTGCTCTTTCGCGCGCGCGCCCATATGTCGCATTAAGAATTTGTGTTAATTGTGAAGCGAGTACCAGCGGATCATGTTATGCCATAAATTGTTGCAGATCACACACATATCCTTTGATACCCTCCATCTCTCATATAAACATCTTACTCTGGTCGTTCCATCTCTCTTAAAATAACTGTTTTCTCCTTTTTTCACGCACGTTCTGCCCTCTATTCCGCTCTCTTGTATGCTGTATACTGTACCGTTCTCTATGCTCTCCTTCTTCTATCACGTATTAATTTCCACAAGTTACTATTTTTCTTTGAGATTCAGTCAGTCTAGTTGAATTTCTGTTTGGGAGCGGCGACAGAGTAGCTAGTAGGAATGTAGAGTATATGATCATTAGATGTATAGCAGCTTTTTCCTTAATTGCTCTTTATTAGGCCCACATTCGAATACCGGACTACTCAACATAACCTGATTGCATCTTCTTAGCACATCCAGAAAATCATCATTTTAACGCCCCCACTCAGAATCCTATAGTTTTTCTCAATTAGTAGGAAAAACAGCCCAAGTTCATGCGTTACCAACACTTTACTTTAAACCTTTACGACAGACATTGCCTCCTCTG